ACCATACACGCAGACTTTCTGTGCATTTATTCCAACGTGTTTCTGCATTCTTGGTAAATCATGCCACGACATAAAGTATTAGATAAATTTCAGTACATGTGTTCAATACTTTTTCCCTGTGCCATTCCACATTATTACAAATACATGTAACTTCCTTTCTGGACATTTATGGTTTGACTTCTTTGTATGTATGGATCACTTGGGTTGTTACCGACATCTGGTGAAAATTTCATGTCATTAGCACCTCCAGTAATATATTTACTGAGAAAAATGGTGACGTGTTCAAGACTTATTTTACCCACTGTACATCACCACAGGGTGCTACAAATTAAAACATCATCAAACTTTTTTTTTATAATTTCTTGATCTCTGTAGTAAGAAAAAAACCTGGCATGTCACTTCAATCCAATTCAAAGATACTTGTGAAATTAAATATATATATTTATCTATTTATATGTCAGCATTTGGGACTAAAAATTGATTTATAATTCACAAGACATTAGCGTTGCGAATCACAGTCGCTTGTAGTTTATCTCCAAGAAATGTGATTGGTTCTTCTTGAAGAGTTTACTGGCCGTTTGCAAAAAAACTGAATAGTGTGCATTACCGCTGTATAAACTGAACTAAACTAATTTTGCGATTTTAATGATATTGGAAAAACTAAAAAAACTGATACTTTTGTGTGGATAAAACTTACTGGATAACTTAATTCTGGTGCCAACACGTCATGAAGTGGCAAATAAAACAAAGTCTGACACAACTAAAATAATGCTGGAAGTGGACGCTGACTGCAGCATGTAGCATACTCTTCATCAATGAAACCCTTACTGATTGGTTGTAGCGACAGCGATGAAAGTTGAACATTTTTCAACTTTCTTGTGTCCCATGGCAAGCCTGCCTCTACACGTCTACACGGACACACTCGAAATTTCACACAATTTTTTTGCAGGTCTCTTGGCTGGAGCAGGGAGGGGTGCTCTTTGGGGTGGGAGCTTGGCTGCAGACTGGGCTCCAGGGAGGAGCTTTGTACAAATAGGCGGTGCTTTGTATCAGCAAACGTTTAGGCAGTTCCAAATGGCCACAGGAGATTCTAGGATTTTTCAAACATGCTTGAATGAATCAAAGCAAGACACTGGGTATGTTTTTGATGAGGGAATGGCATTAAAGCATGATATGAAACTCAAAAAAGTTGAGTTTGCATAAACCTCCCCTTTAATTGTGTCTTGTAATGTAGGTTGAGAGAACGCACACATTAAAGTATCTGTGACGTCAAATGTTTGTAAAACGAATGCATTTTTAGAAAGAGGACATTGATACAAAATTGCAAAAGAAATTTCATGTTGCTGAGATGAACAGTTGAGATATTTGCCTGTGAAGTAACAGGAAGTGATGTCATAGGGGGATGTCTGCATGTGAACAGAGCCTTGCTACAAAAGCTAACAACACAGACTGTAGAGAAGAATCTGATGTTTCTTAAGATTATTTTGAGTCTCTATCAGAGATGAAAAGTCAGAGTTTAAATAATATTATTTTAATAAACAAAGACCAGAGGTTTTTTTTTTTGTTAAAAAGTTCCCCTTTGATGTCACTTCCTGTTTCGCTTTAGCTGAGCCAAGTTCAAAAGAAAATAGGCCAGTTATGGGACAAAATGGGTAAAATCATGTGTATTATTCCAACGTTCTTAAATATGAAGATGTTTTCTCTGAGTTTTTGTATTTGAAGAATATGCATGTCACAGACACTTTAAAATAATGCTAAACAATGAGGGTCCTGATGCATCTCAATAGTCTCAATAGAGTAAAATCAACTAAATAGACTAAACAATGAGGATTTTAAAAAGGTTGTTTTCTACAAATATCTGGATCTACTGGTCAGTTGGGATCAACGTAATGGGCACCCCTGCTTTAATGAATGCTAGGACTTTATTTAGGATTACTAGACAAGAGTCTGTCATTCATAGTATAACATCTCTAAACTCCTGTCAGCGACTCACTCCCAGCTTGTTAAAGTACAAACCTGACATGTCTGTCTACCTTGTGGGTCTGCTGCTGAAGGTTTGAGGCACTTTGGGAAGGCCCAGGCCTCAGTGGAAGAGGTTCAGGCCTACCTGGAAGAAACTTACTGCGGGCACCTGTCAGTGGAGACTGGACAGCTGAGCAGTCTGGAGGAGAGGCAGTGGTTCGCTGACCACTTTGAGGAGCTGAAGAGGAAAAGTTTTTCTCCAGAGGAGAGGAAGCACCTGGCTAAGCTCATGCTGGAGTCTCAGGTACGTCCAAGAAGATGGGCCAACATAACGTCCTTATTCTGGGTGTAGCCTACATGTTTTCATCTGATCTCATTCATCTTGCAACGTGTAGGAGTTTGACCACTTTCTGGCCACAAAGTTTGCTACTGTGAAGCGTTATGGAGGAGAAGGAGCAGAGAGCATGATGGGGTTTTTCTACGAGCTTTTCCACCAGTCGGCCCACACCGGAGTCACGGACATCGTCATCGGGATGCCTCACAGGGGGCGGCTCAACCTCCTGACAGGCCTGCTGAAGTTTCCACCAGAGGTTAGACGCACAAACTGACAAACACTCAGATCGGGTTCAAAAACGCAAACAAAGCTGAGGCTGAGACAACGCTCACCTGGTGTTTGTCCTCTCCAGCTCATGTTCCGTAAAATGCGAGGCCTCAGCGAGTTCCCCGACACCTCGCCGGCTATCGGGGACGTTCTGTCCCACCTCACCTCCTCGGTGGATTTGGATTTCGGAGCGAGTCGTCCTCTTCAAGTCACCTTGCTGCCCAACCCGTCCCACCTGGAGGCCATCAACCCCGTGGCTCAGGGGAAAGCCCGCGCCAGGCAGCAGCTCAGGAAGGAGGGAGACTATTCACCCGAGGAGAACGCCCAGCCTGGGGACCAGGTCGTCTGTCTGCAGGTGCTGCATCACAACTTCACTTCTACTATTACCTCATTCTGATGGAAACTGCAAAGTTTCTTATACTTGTGTCATGTGTAGATGTAAACACACATCAGTCAGCTTTAAAAATCTGGGAACTCATTTCTGGGGATGGTTATCGTTAAAGTTTTATCGATACTAATACTCTTATCAGTACTGCTTATCGATCCGGTATTTTAACGGTTCTCTTATCAACACTTATCTGTTGGAATAAAACCAGTGTTCCCCCTAAGGAACTGGTGGTGGTGGGTTACAAAAAAAAAAACTAGTGCATGTGATTCTGTGTGGGTCAGCGTTGGTGACGCAGAATATGAACCATATTTTCATCTTTAATTTTAATTCCCCCCCAAGTTTGATGTTTCATAAGAGGGGGGGATGTCGAGGAACAACTGCAAAAATAGCTCTCATTAGCTACGTTTACATGGACACAAGTAATCAGRTTAAACGGCCATTCAGAATAAAAATGCGTCATGTAAACACCCCATTCGGATTATTCTGATTCGATTCAGCTCGATCCGAATGAATTTGTAATCAAAATGAGAGAGGTGGTTTATGCCGATTGATAATCTGAACAGCGTGCATGTAAACACTTAATCCGATCATTTTATTCTGATTGTGGAAAACTGATTCTGATTCTGCTCTGTTGTGGAGGGAGGGACATCAGTGCTGTTTCCAGCAGCACAGAAACTTTCCTCCCGTTCTCTCATTCAGTAAAGAAGGAAGACACGCAGCATGCACCGTGTCCGCACTCTTCCGGTACCGTTAATGATACCTTTATTTCTGGAGCTTATTGATCCAGTCAAAATTCATCAYGTGGAACCGGTACTGAAAAAAATACCAGTTTTCAGTATCATCCCTACTTATTTCTTTTTTTTCTCCTTTTTTTTCAAAGCCACTTCAGTAGAAAAGAAAAACGGAATGTTAGTTTCTTAATTTCTGCGTCATCAGTGGCTTTTTTTTCTTACACTATAGTAAAGAAGAAAAGGAAAAAGTAGAAGAGAAATACAAGAACTGAAAATAGAGAAACCGATACAAATTATACAACATGTGAAACAAACACCAATCCCTACTTATTTCTAGCGGCAGAGCAGTTTAGGAGATGGTTAACTGTATTGGGTTTTTTAATGTCTTACAGGCTCTTAGACATGAAATAAATTTGAAAATGTGTTTTTGAAAAAATCGATGGGATTTCTCTACACATCTGTATACCTGCAAAATGTGGTAATTTCTGTATAATTTACAGACAATCTGTCCAACTTGACATGCATGAGTGTAAAAGCTGCCCACTCTTTGCTACATGAGGCCCCTGGTGTTTCCTTTTTCTCCACAGATCCACGGTGATGGCTCCTTCACGGGTCAAGGGATTGTTCCTGAAACCTTGACCCTTTCAAATCTCCCCCACTACAGAGTCGGGGGGAGCATCCACCTGATTGTGAACAACCAGGTGGGGTACACCACTCCGTCGGAGAGAGGACGGTCCTCTCTGTACTGCAGTGATGTTGGTGAGTTACTCAGATCTGTATCAGACACCTTTCTGCTCACACAGACTCAGCAGCGTTTGTTTTGGTGAATGTTTGATTCCCTCGTAGGTAAGATGGTGAACTGTGCTGTGATCCATGTAAACGGTGACGATGCAGAGGAGGTGCTGCGGGCCGCTCGGCTGGCTGTGGACTATCAGCGGCATTTCAGGAAGGACATTGTCGTGGATCTGATCTGCTACCGTCAGTGGGGCCACAATGAGCTGGATGAGCCTTTCTTCACCAACCCAGCCATGTACAAGATCATCAGGTCGGTTCATTTAAACTCTGACCGTAGTTCTTAAATCGCTTTACAGATTGACCTAAATGCTTTCCTACATGTGTTTAACAATCCAGACGTACTTGTAAAAACGTGGAAGTCCTGTTGATCCTTTCAGATCCCGTAAGAGCGTTCCGGACTCGTACTCCAACCAGCTGATCTCAGAGGGTCTGCTGACAGAGGAGCAGCGGGCCCAGATCAAGTCTCAGTTCTACGGCATGCTGAACGACAAGCTGTCCAACATGACCCTGTACAGCCCTCCGCCCACCAACCTGCAGGGCCGCTGGGGGGATCTGGTGGAACCCCAGGCCAAAGTCACCACCTGGGACACGGGGGTGCCGGCACCCCTGCTGCAGTTTGTCGGAGCCAAGTCGGTGGACATCTCCGAAGAGGTCCAGCTGCACAGCCACCTCCTGAAAACCCACGTGCAGGTATGGTTGTCATCTTTTTGTTGTTTTTGTCCAAAGCTTCTGCTCATTCCTGCTGAAACTAAATCTGGTTTTGTTTTGTTTTCCTCAGGCTCGATTACAAAAGTTAGAGGAGGGAACCAAACTAGACTGGTCGACAGCAGAGGCTCTGGCTTTCGGTTCTCTTCTCTGCCAAGGTCCGTCAAACAATCTAATGTTTATTTCTTATAACCTTGTAACTAACCTAACCCTGGCCAAACCTGTCGTGTTGGCAGACGACACTATTTTTTTCAGCTTGAGTAAGAACATAGAACAGATGTTGGAAATGATGGAAATAGAAGTTGTAAAAGTACAAGCTTGGTTTAATCAAAATAAGTTATCATTAAATTTGGATAAAACAAATTACATGATATTTAGCAATAGAAATAAAACAACTGATGTTCGATTTAGAGTGGGTGGTGTTGAAATCTGCAGAGTCAGTGAGGTGAAGATTTTGGGAGTCATCATTGACAAAAAACTGACATGAGATAAACTACTTGAGAACAAAAATGGCAAAATCAATTGCAGTACTGTATAAAGTTAACGAGTTATTTAATGGTAAAGCACTATTTATACTATATAATGCAATAATTGTTCCACATTTGATTTATTTTACAGAAGTCTGGGGAAATGTATGTAAAACCATTACTGATCCTATTTTTATTTTACAAAAAAGAGCCACAAGAATTATCACAAGAAAGCATTACTATCACCCATCTAATATATTGTTTCCTCAATTAAAATTATTAAAATTTTATGAGTTGGTTGAATATCATGTTCTGCAGGTTATGTATAAAACTCATAAAAATGTGTTACCTTCAAACATACAATCAAATTTTATTAATTGTTTGTTAATCCGAAAAGCCAAACAAGTTTGAAGGACAGATGCACTACAGATTACACTACAATGAAAGGTGTAAGACTGTGGAATAATCTGGAAAATGATTATAAAAGCAATGGATCAATTAATTCC